AGCCTGAGACAGGGCTTCTCTGCATGCCCAGACATGGCGTAGGATGGGGGGGGGCAGGGAACCTGATACAGCAAGACATGAGAAAGTCCTGTAGAGGACAAAAGCCCCAACAAACCCTCCCTCAGGGTGAGATGGCAAAGGAGAAAAGGTTCAAGCCCTGATTTTTACACCACTTGCTCATTAACAATATGAACTGTTGCTTTACAAAAGGGACACGTTGCTTTTGTCTTTTTAAAACCTGAAGTCTCACTAAGATGTGAGGGGTTCTCTGTACGAATGATCATGCTCCAGGTGAGCCCTCCCGTGATGGAGTCATGGATTTGGATGGCAGATGAAGACCTGGCACACCTGTCTGGCTCAAAGCTCCACGGCCTGGCCATGCAAGTTGGCAACCTGGGGCAGAAGGCCATAGCTCTCCCTCTGAAGCCCCATGCTCTGGCAATGCAAGGGTGAGTGGCAGTAGGCCATATAGCTCACCCTTTGAGTTTCCTGAAAAGCTGCCTACAGCACCCTTTGGATGTGGCTCAACGCTTGCAGGGCTTCTCTGTTGCTGTGGTGGGAGGGAGAGAGAGCCTATTCAAAAGGTGCTGCACTGGAGGAACCAGAGGGATGGAGCCTCAATGTTCCAGTGATTCCTCACTTCAGGAAAGGGTAAGGAGAGCTAGAAGGTGAGATGAAATTGCTACTGCACAAAAATGAATACAAATTAGAGTTATAAAACAAAGTGGGGTCAGGAGAAACTGAGCCACCAGTTTGTTCTACTGCCAGAAGCAGAATTTCTGGTGGCCTGAGTTGAAGGGTGGCACTTTGTTCAGTGCTGTTGCTGGAGGCTCCAGGATTGTCTCCCAACTCCACAGGTGGTAGGCATCTCCCATTAGGGATGAATGAGCTGAGATGCTGTGTAGCAGAAATGTACTTAGACTATATGAAGGGAAAAGCACGTTAACTAATGAAACACATTTTAATTCTCTTTAGAAACCTAATTAACAGGATTTGGTGCAAAACTGGAAGTAAGGTAATAAATTTCCACCCAAAATTCTGTTTAATCAAAATGATACCACAATTAGCATTAAACTGTCACCCATGTCTGGTGCCTGAGGTGCATCAATGGTTCTTGTGCTTCAAACAGAAAATCCTTGTGGTATCAAATCTCAGATACTAGAAATTGCCACTCCATGGTAAGTGCTGGTTTTTTAATAATGACAGCCCTAGTGGAGATAGTGTAGTATTTCTCTATAGTTAGAAAAGGCAATAACTCCATCATCGCAGATACCACTGGGGCTAAGTGTCTATTTTATTTTTTCTGGTTAAACAGCTATCACTGTCCCCGTATTCTTGTGTTATTTTTATTCTGGCTCTCAGTGAGATGATTTATTAATCTATAGTTATATGTGACACATTAGTAAAATATCACAAATGAAAGGGATAGTTTTTTTATGAATTTCCTAGCTAAAAGTCAAAGCTGTCATCAATTTTAGGTATCAAAGTGAATATTAAAACTAGTCAAACCCTCAGCTGAAATCATTTAATAATATTCATTGTCTCTTTAGTCTCTAAAAAGAGATTTGTTGTTTTGACAAGATCACCTGCTGATTTTTTTTTAATATATATTTACGTGGAAGTTATTTGTCTAACTAGCCATTTGTAGGTCAACAGTAAAACTTGTCTCAGCTCTGCTCACCCCTCAAAGCAGTGTGCTACCGTCAAAACCCATTTGTTTGCAATCAAAACACAGCCACATATGTGCCCACTTGGTTCACTCTGCAGAGAGCACTGCCACGGCCACCGTCCTGGACGACTAGTCCTGCCGCCAAGGATCCTCTTGCTCATGCGAGCTGCAGGGCGACGGCCACAATCTAGCAAGAAATGTATGATACAGTGTGTTATTTACTGCCACAAAATTCAATGTGCATAGAATGTTCTCGAAATCTGCTCTGAAAAAAAGTATTGCAAGAGGGTTTCTCTATACGGAATGAAATTATAAACTCATGAAATTGTGTCGCACCTATGGGAAGAATTTATAAAAACTCAACACACTGTGTTTGAATTCCATATACAATGAGCCAAATTCATCCCTCCTTTCACTTCAGTGGACTGAGCCCAGAGATTAATTTGACCTATTTAGGTTCCCAAATAAGACAAATGGGGGGGGGAGGGGGGAAGCCAGACTAAGTTGGAAGAGTTTGGCTTTCTCGGAGAAGTAGAGCTACCGACTTAGCCTTGGGCAGGGGGGTTATTTGTATACCAGTCAATCACCAGCATGTTGCTGCTACCTGGCCCACACACCAGAACTGGCACTGAGTAGCACATTGGAAAGCCTGTGCCCAGGCCCAGAAGCCCAAGCGTGGGATGTGCATCTAGCTGCAGGATATATACTATTTCTTTACTCATGGAAATTTCCAATGGAAAATAGCTATTTGCTCATACATAGCTTGCCAGTGCTGATTTTTTTTTTTTACAATGCCTATTTTAGTGCTCCGTCCATTCTAGTTTTAAATATCCACCACTTCCCTTGGAAACTATAGCATATTGTTATAAATTTCACTGACAAGAAGTTTTCCATCAACTTACTGGTCAGCTACACACCTTTTAAAAATATGTTCATCCCTTTCTTTTAGTTCTCCTTTTTAATTCTGGGATTGTAATGTGACAGGCTATTATAAATCTCTTGTTTTATTACTGCCCAATTTAGAGAATTGGCTGACATAGTATCAGTTTCTGGAATCCTTCCCCAGGGGAGGATATCCTGTTTTTGCATATATGTTGGAATTTAGCGATGAAGAAATAAATTAGTACAATGTTGATTTGTAACTATTAAATTCTTAGCACGTTCCCTCAAATAACTTCTGGGGACAAGGACTTTTGTGTTGCTTTAAAGTCCTCTATATGTACTACATGTAAGAGGCAAACAACCTTACCGAGTCCTACCAGATGATTTTTCTGGTAATAATAAACTGAGTAGTTTCCTGGATCTAGGTCATGCTTTATGATTAATCTGTCTCATCAGGCTAATATATTTATTCAAAATGTTCTTCAAGAAAGCTTTTCCGTTTTGTAGAACCTGACATCCATCTGAAGAATTGCTGTATTTTCAAACCACTTAAACTTGCACAATCCACTGTGCATTTAGATTTAATCTGGAGTTTTCTCCTTTAAATTTCCCTATCCCCTTGACAGTCACAGCTACAAATGGATCACATACCACATCAGGAGCTTACTTATTATAGCGGTAGCAAAAGATGTTCCCAACAGCAACAAAAGTTTAATATAATTAAAACGGATATTGACAAGATTAGGGCAAACCAGGAAGTCATCCTTTGGTTCTGGGTCCATTTGCAAGACATTGGAAAGATGATGCTACCAGTGCAAACAGTTAGTGATATAATTTCTGGGCCAGATTCTGTTTTCAGTCAGTCCAGAGTAAATCCAATAAAGTCAGTGAACTTACTCCAGACTCACTAATATCTCAGTCTGACCCTTTCTCATTAGATTCTATGGACCAAACCTTCATGTCTTTATTCAGGCAAATTTCCACAGAAGCCTGAGAGAGTCTTCCTAAGAAGCACTACAGAAAACGCAGTACCTGTAACTATATCATCATACCAATTATGGACCAAGCCTGCTCCCTTTGAAATTAACTGTAAGACTCCCATTTAATTTTGCGAGGGCAGGAGCCAGCCTTAATCCAATACAATGGACAATTTCATCATCAAAAGGGGGGAAAAGATGATAACATTGGATGTAGTGAAAAAAAAGGGAAATAACAGGTGAACAAAAGTATATCAGATTTCAAAGGGAAATACACATTAAAGATTTGTTTTTGAGAAAGTATATTTCAACATATCAAAGACACATGCTTAAGAGCCCAAATAAAATGTTCTTCATATGTTGTTCCAGGAATTATATGTTTTTCTCTTACCTTTTTTGCTACAGAGAAGGGACACTTTACTTCTGCTTTGACATGACTGCCTAAGTGTTGAAACAATAACATGAAAAACATATTATTGACAATTTACATATCATATTATATCGGCTCAATATAAGAGCAATTGGATTTAAACACAGCAAAATCAATCCACGATACAATGAAACACCGGGAGTATTATATTGGGGCACCAGAAATTGCACTGGCTTCAAGTTTGTTTCTGAAGGCAGTTAAAGGTGTTATTTTAGATCTATATAAAGCCTTTATGAATTGAGTGCTGCATATCTTAGAGACTACCTCTTTCTTTATTAATTAACCCAACAGCTGAGATGCACTATCTGATAATTCCTAAATTCTGAAGGCAAATAAATCTCTGTGAAGTTCTCTTGGTTCTTCCAGGTAGGTGAAAGACTTTTGTTGACACTTACTTGCTAGAAAATGGCTTTTAGATTAAACAGAATTTTTTGCCAAAAGAATTTTGGTCTTTTGATGAAAACCCAGAAAGTTTCCAAGGGAAACATTTATGCAACTGAAGAGTTCACATTTTTGTTGAAAGTTTTTGGGAGGGAGAGAATTATTTTCCTACCAGTTGTATGGATTCTACAGTTCATTTGCCTCCTTGCCTCACATAGTCCAAGGTCCACTGACTTCAATGGGATTACTCACACTAGGAGTCAAGTTATTCATGTGCATGGCTGACAGTGCCTGCAAACCATTAAACCCAGTTAATAAGTGAGACATCTTGAATAAGATGAAGTCTGAACAAGACATCAATTGCTATGAAGATCTCCGTATTTATTTACTATACATATGGATTTGCTAAGAATGGAAGGCCAAATTATTGTTATCCATGTTTTTAATTTTTTTCTATGTGTCTTGAAGGATTGATGAGCACAATATACTAGTGGAAAAAATATTATGAGAGGCTTTCTTAGATTTCAGTAGCAATACCACTTAAAATCTGGACAAGTTCTCAACCAAAACCGTATTAAAACATAAATCTAATTTGTTTTTCTCTTTTATATCAACCCATATAATTTTCAGGCCAGCAGAGATATCAGGAATGTGGGCACATATGGAAATTAAAGAAAAATCAAATACAGGTCAAACTGCAGGAAAAATCCTTGTACTGAAAGAATGATAAATGTGTCCAGTGTTCTAAGAGGCAGTATTACACGCTGTTATAACATTGCATTGTACATAAGAACAGCCATACGGGTCAGAACAAAGGTCCATCTAGCCCAGTATCCTGTCTTCCGACAGTGGCCAATGCCAGGAGCTCCAGAGGGAATGAACAGAATATGTAATCATCAACTGATCCATTCTCTGTCGCTCATTCCCAGCTTCTGGAAAACAGAGGCTAGGGACACCATCTCTGCCCATCCTGGCTAAGATGCCATTGATGGACCTATCCACCATGAATTTATCTAGTTCTTTTTTGAACCCTGTTATAGTCTTTGCCTTCACAACATCCTCTGGCAAAGGGTTCTACAGGTTGACTGTGTATTGTGTGAAGAAATACTTCCTTTTGCTTGTTTTAAACCGGCTGCCTATTAATTTCATTTGGTGACCCCTAGTTCTTGTATTGTGAGAAGGAGTAAATAACACTTCTTTATCTGTATTACTAGATAGAGCAAAAAAGGAATGAAGTATACTAACTTATATTTATATTGTGCTTTTCATCAAGAAGGATCACAAAGTATTTTACAAACTTACTGTCACTTGCTGGTTTGAACTAGAGGAAATGGTGGATTCTCTGTAACATCAAGTCTTTAAATCAAGATTTGAGGACTTCAGTAGCTGAGCCAGAGGTCTATTACAAGAATGGGTAGGTGAAAGTCTGTGTCCTGTGATGTGCAGGAGGTCAGACTATATGATCATGATGGTCCCTTTTGGCCTTAAAATCTGAGTCTAATTTAAACTTATACACAAAATACTGTATAGAGTAAAATACCGTAAACCCGTGGTTTTCAACCTGTGGTCTGTGGACCCCTGGGAATTTCCAAAGGGGTGTGCACCTCCATTTGAAATTTTTAGGGGTCTACAAATGAAAAAAGGTTGAAAACCACTGGCCTATACCAGGCAAACCAATATTACACTATGGTGTAAGACAAAATAATAAATTCCCTTGCAACTATTTAAAAATTTAAGATTTTTTTTTTACATAAACAATTTTTTTTTGTAATTCAACTGGGAATTTGGCTAGGCTACTGGAATTAACACTTCTGTTGAAAAATGCCATGGGCCCTACTCAAGCCACCAGTGGTCAGGAACTAAATTCTATATATCACGGGAAAGATGGAAGACATCTAGCTGGCCATAATGGATGAATACACGAATAAATCCAGCTCTGAAGTAAACTGGCATAACCCCAGTGACATGAATGGAGTTAGAATCATAGAAGATTAGGGTTGGAAGAGACCTCAGGAGGTCATCTAGTCCAACCCCCTCATCAAAGCAGGACCAACACCAACTAAATCATCCCAGCCAGGGCTTTGTCAAGCCAGGCCTTAAAAACCTCTAAGGATGAAGATTCTACCACCTACCTAGGTAACCCATTCCAATGCTTCACCACCCTCCTAGTGAAATTGTGTTTCCTAATATCCAACCTCGACCTCCCCTACTGCAACTTGAGACCATTGCTCTTTGTTCTGTCATCTGCCACCACTTATAACAGCCTAGCTCCAGCCTCTTTGGAACCCCCTTTCAGGTAGTTGAAGGCTGATATCAAATCCCTTCTCACTCTTCTCTTCTGCAGACTAAAAAAGCGCATTTTCCTCAGCCTCTCCTTGTAAGTCATGTGCCTCAGCCCCCCCTGTAATCCCCAGGTCTTTCCTGCAGAACTGCTGCTTAGCCAGTCGGTCCCCAGCCTGTAGCGGTGCATGGGATTCTTCTGTCCTAAGTGCAGGACTCTTGTTGAACCTCATCAGATTTCTTTTGGCCCAGTCCTCCAATTTGTCTAGGTTGCTCTGGACCCTATCCCTACCCTCCAGTGTATCTACCTCTTCCCCCAGTTTAGTGTCATCTGAAAATTTGCTGAGGATGCAATCCATCCCATCACCCAGATCATTAATGAAGATGTTGAACAAAACCGGCCCCAGGACCGAGCCCTGGGGCACTCCCCTTGATACCGGCTGCCAACTAGACATCGAGCTGTTGATCACTACCTGTTGAGCCCGACAATCTAGCCAGCTTTCTATCCACCTTATAGTCCATTCATGCAATCCATACTTTTTTAACTTGCTGGCAAGAATACTGTGGGAGACCGTATCAAAAGCTTTGCTAAAGTCAAGATATATCACATCCACTGCTTTCCCCATATCCAAAGAGCCAGTTATCTCATCATAGAAGGCAATCAGGTTGGTTGTACCAGCTTACACCAAACACTGAATTTGGACCATAATACTTAAATATTTCAATGGTTTCTTAATTATGGTTACCACTTTCTAGCTAGCTATTCAATGTAACAGATAACTCAAACTTGAGAATGGGAGATGGGGGGAGAAGGGTGGATATTGTGCTCAGAATCCTACAACGAAAAACTCAACAGTGAACTGTTTGTAGTTCTGTTGATAAATATCCCCCATGGAAAACATGCAAACACTTTTTTAAAATAAGAGGAAATATTATTATTGCTCAAACCTGACTGGCCATACATTTACACAATCATTATTCTTTTCCGTGATGTCTGGGCCAAATACTCAGCTGATTTACAAATCTGTTGAAGTTAATGGGGTAGCCTGAAGTGTATGTTGTATAAAAATTGGTGTAAAAATCTATCCCGCTTTAGCCTGAACACAGATTGCAAAATTCTATTTTCAGACACTTGGCCAGTCTCAGTAATGTAACTGTTCTCCTTACATGTGTGAAACTCCTAGGGAAATTCCTAAAGCATTTCTATCTATGTAAGGAGTGCAGAATATCAGACTAGTCATATCCCTGAGAATAGATTCCCCCCCCCCCAAATGTTCTGTCTCCTGGTCAAATAACCATCCTCCCCAAAGAACAAAATATAGATGAATGTGTGCAAAGCTTGCACTCTGCTTTCATCCTTTCAAAACATCTTCTTCCAGAAATATTGAAGCATTTGTTAGTTCTTGCCAAAGTTCTTGTCAGTCTAGTAAACTGGTGTCTGGTGCTTCTCTGTGAAAGCTATTAATATTAAGCTTGCAAGAGGTCTAGAAAAGAGAATGGACTTATTCAGTAAATAATATATTTCTCTTTTTGGGTGCCACAGAGCTATTTTCCTTAACCATTCCTAATACATGACCAACCAGAGAAAGACACTTATTAGAGGAAGAAATAAACACATGTATTCAGTTTTATATCCCAGTTTGTCCCTTTGAGTGTGTATAGTTCTTACTCTACTCTCAACATAGTATACCAGAGGTAATCAATAGGCTGACCATGGGCCAAATCCGGACTGCCAGACGCTTTTGAACGAATCCTGAAATCATTATATTAACTTATTATCATTATTGTTATTATTTTCTCTGGAGTCTGGACCTTGACTATGCCTTGACTGAAAAATTTGGACCTTGACAAAAAATAATTCACTATACCTGTAAAAAGCAACAGAGGGTCCTGTTGCACCTTTAAGACTAACAGATGTATTGGAGCATAAGCTTTCGTGGGTGAATGCCCACTTCATCAGACGCAAGTCCACAAAAGCTTATGCTCCAATACTTCTGTTAGTCTTAAAGGTGCCACAGGACCCTCTGTAGCTTTTTACAGATTCAGACCAACACGGCTACCCCTCTGATACTCGTCACTATACCTGGTATGCACCCACACAAACAGGGTTAGCATCCAAAACTCATTCCCCCTTACTAGTTTCTCTTTTATTCATAACTTAAGGATAATAAAACATAAGCCTTATTCTAAGCTTCCTTCTGAGCTGGCTGTTTATAGGGTTTTTTCCTCCACATGACCATGTCTCATCTTCTTGTCCAGGGTTCAGACACACCCTTACTAGTTTGGTGCTAATGAGACCCATCCAATCTGCTTGCAAGGATGAGTCAGCAGAAAAGCCTGAATCTTGATGCAGGGTCTTAGAAATTGACACCTTGCCTCAATCAGTCTACTAAGATTCTGAATTAAGAATGGAAAGTTTGTTCTTACCTGTTAATTTCATTTCTAGAATGGTCCCATCTATAAATCCCTTACTATGGGAGCTTCCTCTTCTCCAGCCTGCATTGAAGGCAGTACAAGACCCTTGGGAAGTGGCTCAGAGGCTATGTTCCATCCCTTTCCACCTGACTACTTTCAAAATGATATACCAGGGGTCAGCAACCTTTCAGAAGTGGTGTGCCGAGTCTTCATTTATTCACTCTAATTTAAGGTTTCACGTGCCAGTAATACATTTTAACATTTTTAGAAGGTCTCTTTCTATAAGTCTATAATATATAACGAAACTATTGTTTTATGTAAAGTAAATAAGGTTTTTAAAATGTTTAAAAAGCTTCATTTAAAATTAAATTAAAATGCAGAGCCCCCCTGGACCGGTGGCCAGGACCCGGGCAGTGTGAGTGCCACTGAAAATCAGCTCACCATAGGTTGCCTACCCCTGTGATAAAGAATTTAAATGCTAATAAGATTCTTGATAATAACTCTAAGAAACTAGTAATATGTCAGAGAGATGCTCCCTTTGATCAACATTCTGAGATCTTTGTTCTTGGTATTTACTCTAGACCCGAGCACTTGGAAGAGATTAGGCTGGTGAACAGGGACAGTTATGAGAAAGGAAAAGCGGTAAGAACAAATTTTCCAGTCTCAGGCATTGTCCTGTCTCCCAGTCCCCATTATGGGTAACTTTTCTTTAAGTAGGTGAACAAATGAACTGGAAATGAATGGGAAAGAATGTCAAAACACTATGAAACTATTCACAATAGATGAACAGAGGAAAGAAGAAGTAACTTAAGAGGACTACCTCCTTCAGTATTCTTCTGATGAATGAAGATGCTACTCGCTTTTGTGGTTCAAATTAATACTGTCGCCAGCTAGTAAAACTTTGCACATTTGAATAGGTGATTGCCTTTCAAATCTTTTCATATGAAGCCTTGGAGCCTTCTTTCCAGGTAACAGATACTTTTCTGGTTGAGTGTGCTGTGAACTTTTCCAGTGGTGTTCCTCAACGGGCTAGGTAAGCGTCTACAATAGATTTGCTTGCTTTGTCCAGCAATGGTAGTTTCAGATGAATTCCTGAGTTGAGGCAATGTGATTTTTCTCCCAATTTACGGAAAAGTCATCACAGCCCTGGTTCAGCCGCCTTATGAGGTTGCCCTAATTAGTATATCAGTCAGGAAGACTTTACATATTATATAAAGGTGCCATTTCCCCCTGAAGGATGGTATGATGAATATTTTCTGGGCTCTTCGGATAGCACTTGTAGAGAGTTTCTAGAACTCTACTGTCCAAAGTGACAAATAACCATTTGTTCTTTGAAACTATTCAGTCTCCTTCCTAACAAGCAGATAACCTCTTTTAGTTCTGAACTCACTCAGCTGGGTTGAGGCTGCACAGGCTCTGGTACCTCCCCAAAAGGGACCGACAACCCAGAACTCTGCAGGGGAGACATGCCCCCTCTCTGGGTACCCAGGGTCCCTCACTCCAGGTGAGCTTGGGGACAAAAGGAACCGCAGGGAGGAAATGGACAGAAAAAAATGTAGCCAGCACCACCAGCAAAAAGCAGCTGCAGTCAGTACTTGTAGGCTCTGATGATGCTCTCTTTGTCCAAAAGTTTTTCACATTAGCCACCACCAATTAAACAGAGTCCATTACTGAATCCACCAAGATGTCCAAAACAAAAGATGCTGCTGAGAAAACCTTCTGCTGGGGACTTTAACTTCTGGTGTTTAGAAGCTGTGGTCTCTGCAAAGTCCAGACTACAACAGTCCTAGCAAGGAAGGTGGGAGTGTTGCTGATGCCTTTGCCCTCTTGTCTCTTATGGACCTTCCCTATTGGTCAATAGAGACTTGCTTGAGCTGTTGTAAGAGTCTGTCAGAGTCTTTCCATCATTTGTCTGACCTCTCCTGCACTTGCCCTATTTACCTGCCTTGTGAGGCTGGCCTATTGAGTCTGCAGTCTTCTTCCCTGAGGGACAAGCTTCCACAGTCGGAGGGCTTGTAGGAGCACTGACCCGAGTCAGCAGGGAAAGAGGACATGAATCTGAAGAAGTGGGTTTTTTTTTACCCATGAAAGCTTATGCCCAAATAAACGTTAGTCTTTAAGGTGCCACCAGACTCCTCGTTGCTTTTGTGGATACAGACTAACACGGCTACCACTCTGATACAGGGAAAGAGGGAGGCTATGATTCTGTGATTAAAAGCTTATTATGATAGTTACAGTCTACAAAATTACAATCAACCAGAAAATTAGATTCAGTGAAGAGGACCCAAAATGAGATTGAAGTTGTAAGAGACATTAGTCTCACTGTGGAATTTACATTACGTCATGCATAAGTATGTTTATGTGAACGCAAACACAGATACCTTTCTGCACTCAGAACACAAAACTCACTAATGGAAATACCATCCTTCATTGCTATAGTTCCATCCACCTCTCTGAAGCACATATGGAGCACACACTAGCTGTCCCTTACCCTTTCACTAGCAGGGCAGGTAACGTGGATGCATTTTTATTCTTCCAGTCAGAGTGCAGATTCAGCCACTTTTGATGGTGTAGTTGCTCATTTTCTTGTACAATTTTTGTTGCAGACGGCCCCCTGAAATGAATAAAAACAGTCCATGGATCTTCAAATATCTTTGACTCTCACTTTCCTGACATTACAGTTATGGAGGGAAAGATGCTTTAGTACCTCCCCTTTGGTGGTATGCCAAAGTCAGGCAACTGAATGATACTCCAGATCTGCAGATGGTTGCGGGACAGGTTTTGGCCAAAGTCAGACCTACTCACATTTTATTATTATTCATGAAAAATGTTCTAACAAGTGGGAGTGGGAAATGGAAATGGCAAAAGTTCTCTGGTGGCAGAAAACATAAGCATTATTTCACATCTGCTTTATTCATTACCATTACATTTTGGTCATAATGCTCATAATCACATCCAAGCTTTTTCTTCCCATAAATTTCCCTTCCAAGCAATTTTCAGTTACCCACTATGTGTCTGTTTAGCTCATATTGCTTCCGCAAGATATAATCAGGAATGATGATCACAGTATGGATTGATTTTATTCATACTGATCAACAGAACCACTCAGACAGAGGAAAATTTCAGAACATATAAAAATAGAGTCTCTTAAATGAAAGTAACCGATAATCAGATTTGGCAGATTGGTAAAATCAATTCCCCCCCACACCTTTTTTTTCCCCTGGTAAGTAAGACTTCCATCTCTCTCTTTGAAGCTCTTCATTGTAACGTTACTTATACAAAGAATTGAGCCCTCAAGCACTTACTTGGTTCTAGATTCAGCAACTGCTTGGTCAAAAAATTATACATTTTTCTCCTGAATTAATTTGCACAAGATGCCATTTAAAAAAATGAAAAGATTTTTTTAAAATCATTTATGCATCAGACAAGCAGTTCAATTTAAGGAAACATCAGATCATTCTGCCCCAGAATACAAATAAATAAAAAAATTTGCAAATTCTCAAACATAACAGCAGGAAGATTCTTCATGGATTTGGATTTCAAAATATATGGTGCATATGTGCATTAACATGAAAACTGGGTAAAAGTAGTGATCATTTGTTAAATTTCATTTCATTTCAGGAGATTTTGCACTCTTGAAATATTGCTCTTCTGCAAAACATTTGGCAAAATTGGCTATTTTTATCTTAAAACCCTGCAAAAACACCCATTTCTGAATATTTGCTCTTGTGCTGTGAATTTGAAATGTGTTCCATATGTAGCTCTGCAGCATCAGTTCATTAACAAAATACCAGATCCTTAAGTCCAGCCAAACTGTACCAGGTACAGCTCAGGTACACTAAAGTTCGCCTTTATGCTCCCCTGATCTATATATCGGAGTGGTTTCCAAGCATAAGAAAGAGCAGAACTGACAAGGCATAGGGAAGCCTCTGTCATGTTCCGTTACCCCTGATCGCATGCCTCCTTCTCCAGTAGCAGAAAGGCAAGGCTACGTTCAGGCCTAGGTAACATCAAAGCACAGTGGGACTATGCAGCTCCATAACGATCTATATGACAGATACCCCAGGGCTAAAAGTTTTGCCCCTCCCAAAAAGGGGGACAGAGAGCTGAAATTAAGGGTGTATATATTTGAAAGAAAAGAAAAGAAAAGAATCTTAGGGGGACACACACACAAAGAAAATTGAATAATAATATGGAAGACACAGGAAAAGGAAAAATGTGTATGGGGGCTAGCTCCAGACATTACAAACTTTTAGATTTAGATTGACAAACTTTAAACTGATAAATAGATGTTACATCATCTGGCAAAAGCAAGTTTTTGTTTGCTTGAGTATTTAAAGAAGTCAAATAAATTTTGGAAGATTCATATGAGGTACCTAAAGCAGCTTTCTGTCTGGAGCTAAAGCAATGCAATGGACTACCACGGAAAATCTTTCAAAGCTGGTGAAACTAGAGGCGAAAACCCACCCAACTTTGATTTTACTAAGGTGGTGGCAAGGGTCCAGGGAAAATAAGTGGGAAGGAAAAATAAAACCCTGTTATTACTATCGTTATTTAAGTGTTGACAATGTCCTTAGGAATGATGGTCCCACTTCAGCAAAGTGCTCAAGCATGTGCTTAACTTTTAGCATGTCCCATTGACTTAAGTGTCACTACGTACTGATTAGTTAGACATTGGAAAAGGGGAAAAAACCAAGCACAGTGGAAGTTATGGCTAAAGAAAAATAGTTCTGTACATATTATTAAGGGCCTGATTGTGCCTTCCGCATGCACCCAAAACTCCCAGTAAAGTCAGTGGAAGATCTGGGTACATAAGAAATGCAGGATCTGCACTAAGAAGCACATGCTGACTGTGAAGATGAATGATGAACAATGTATTGTATTTCAAAAAAAGTTCTGACCTTGTCTGAGCAATGGCTGTAAAAAGAAAACATGACGGATTCTCAGATTCTGCCAAGATGCCTTTAACCTTTCAATGAAACATTCAACTCTCAGACTTATATTTGTTCCCTCATCAAGATTTTTTTTTAAATGACAATCTAAAGCAATGATGACTCACTAAAGACACAGAAAAATCTGGTTTTCCTCAGCAGGAAAAACCTGCAGGAATGACTTTTTCAAGATTCTAAAAAGCTGTAACACATGAAGAGTTTTTAAAAAGTGTAAAAAAACCCAATACTGTTTTCCTTTAAACTGAAGTTAGACAAAAGTCATGGGTAGGTTTGGAAAAATACAGATATTCAGGGCTACTGCACAGTTAATGAACCATAAACTGATTCATAGTTTAATTGTATTTTTAACCATCTTACAGTTTCTAATGCTAGATTCCCGCCACCAGGAAATCTGTTACTATTTGGGCCTTTCCTGGAAAACTAATTTGTTTTTCAGATCCATCCATTTGATCTACTACAGAAGTGTCCGTCATGTCCAAGACCACCCTTCTACTCAGAAGATTATACAGTCCCTAAGCTTGACAGCTAAGGAATCCTTTATGGGAGAAGAGAAGGATAACACTTAGTATAATTTAAAATAAATCACTTATCTAATGTTAAAAAAAATAAAATTCCTTCTAGTACTTTTTAAATTAGACGTGTGGGAAATTATGTTAAATTATATATTATATAAACACACACACATGTAGTAGTAGAGAGTTTGGGGTTTTCTAATTCATATTGACCATCAGAAGCTTGTTAACTGTAAAAATGTAAAGATAAAACTGAACTTCAATTACAGCATTTAACAGTCTGAGTCCAAGTTTTCAAGTCTGCTAAACAAAACAAATAGCTAGGAGAAACCTGGGAGTCTACATCTGTCCAGCAGACAACTGAAAATAGGTTGGAATGGTTGCACTAAATGATATTTTCAGATTTATACCTCTTCAGCCCAGCCATTATTTGTTATTATGTTAACAACTCTGCCTGTGTATCCTCTGAATAAGTTGCTGGTTTTGATATGTTTGAATTGCTATATGAAGGAAAGGGCATAGCTCATAAATGGCTCCAGATACCTCATGGTTTTCCTGTAAAGAATGATCTATTAACCATAAAAATTAACAATATGGTACATCATGTTCTATGTCAGCAGTGAGTTAGTTTGCCAGGTCTGCATCAATTAAAATCTGACAATAACCCAAATTCTGGATTCCAGCCAATGGAAGGAAGAATAAGAAAAAAAAATCAGGAAAAATGTCAAAGGGCCTAGAGATTGCACCTGCATCTTCCTCATAGGGCAGCACATGGCATTAGGCTATTTTAAAATCTGAGTTATATTACTTTTACAGTTGTTTAAAACAGGTAGCATCCATTGGTTAGCTTACTGTACAAGTTGTTAATGATCAACTAAGCATGGTTTTTTGGCAATGGTTGTCAATGCTACCATATGGAAATGCTCTCAGCAGGGCTGGCAGAATTAGAGACTCTGAGGTCCTATCCTTGGATTCTGTCCATTTCTCCTCTGGACATATTAAACTATTATCACTCCATGATCTACTAGCCAGCAGTGGTTGCTAATGAGCACTTTTAAAACAGTTCTCACCTCATCAAATGAAGGCTCTTCTGCAGCAAAGAGCTTCTCCCTCCTGTGTCTGCTTATGGTAAACAGACACAGCTGTCTCCTTCTATTAATTTCCAGTATTTTCTCATTTCCCCTTCCATCTCCTCCAACAATGTTCACAAAAACATTTTGTCTAACATTTTTGATCTGTCTTCTTTGTATAAAGAATCTGCCATGAGCAACTTCTCCATTACTTCATAATTTTGTAGAATGGTGTTTTATCCATTGTGTGGCTTTCACCAAATATGTAATTTATAAAATACATAATTCAGAAATATGTATTTTAAAAAATGAACACCATCATACTGGTTGATGGATGCAAGCTAATATTACCCCAGCGGGTCTCAAACTGTGGGTCGGGACCCCATTTTAATGGAGTCGTCAGGGCTGGTGTTAGACTTGCTGGGGCCCAGGGCCGGAGCCCGAGCCCCCCACCCTGGACGGTGGGGCTAGGGCTGGGGCTTCGGCTTCAGCCCTACGCAGTGGGGCTGGGGCTTCGGCTTCAGCCACGGGCAGTGGGGCTGAAGCCCTTTGGCTTTGGCTCCCCCACCCCCCAAGAGCAATGGGGCTTGGCCGAGTTCAGGCTTCGGTCCCCCGTCCTGGGGTCATGTAGTAATTTTTGTTGTCAAAAGGGGGTCTTGGTGCAATGAAGTTTGAGAACTCCTGTATTACCCCCAAAATTGTGTGATCTTAATAAGGTAAAACAAACAGACTGTAGCTAGCCTGTGCTTTGTATTTATAAAAAGAAGTAATTCCAGATTATATTCTATAATAATATATCCATTCACCACCATTTAAAGGACACCATCAATTTGAATGCTCTGAAAGTGACTAAGTATTAAATCTAGTTCCTGAGCTCCCCCTCCACCCCTAACATTCCACAAAGCACTTCAGCATGTGCATAATTTTACTTATGAAATCAGTGGGAGTACTCACAAGTGTGCTTTGTGTGATCAGGGCCCTTTTAAATAGTAAGCCCTGATTGTTATTTCTCTCTCTTTTTCTTTTTGAGTTCTTTTAAAAAATGTTTTTATCTGGGTTTTTCTCCTTGCTGATGTTTAT